AGTTTAGATATCATTCAAGAATGTTCGCATACTTGTTTTAACTTATCACTTGACTAAAATCTATCACTCACAGATTTTTTGAGATTTCAATATGAACTGATAGCCCTAATTGTTATTACTGTCAGATAGTTATTTTAACCGATTTCCACACTTTAAGGGCATGTGTCACTGCAGCAATTAGAGACGAATGGCATAATTTTATCTTTCAGTAGAAGTTCAAATGTATACTTTTCAATATTCACAGCAAGATTAGACAAATCGCAAGTAAATGTGAAAAAAATATTGTGAAATAAAATGATTTCACTTTCAGATTACTGTTTTTGAAAACAAAGGTAAATTTTTCGAATTACTATCCGTTAGATATAATGGGTCAAAATAATGGCTGTGTGTTGATCACTCATTTCAATCTTTTTTTAATAGAACATATAAAAGAGAATATGTTTCACAATGTATTTTAAATTCTTAAATGACTATTTAACTTTTTCTTCAATGTGTCAGATGATACACTCTCAGACATATAGATAGTGAGGCATAATAAAAATTGTTCATCGTTTCTATTAAACGACTAATTAATGTGTAATAATGATATTTCCATTATTCTAATAAAATTGTAAAAGATTCAATCAATCATAAAAAACATGACAAATGAAATAAATGTATGATTTAAATTGGCAATATTTGAAGATAATTATCTGGCGGCTACTTTCTGGTGATGTTCATATTAGCATTTTACAAGTAGAAAAAAGATATAGAATGTGTACATGTTTGTGCCATATGAAAACGATAACTGTTCCAGAGAACACATATGAAAACTAATAATATGTTTACACTTTCCAATCGACAGATGTGAACGATATGTACAAATTCAACATGGCAAAAACAATCATTTCTTTATTGATGAAAAAAAACATTCAATTTCAAATTCAGAATCATAGAGTAGCTCTTTATAGAGTTTTCAGAAAATTGCGATGATACTTATGTAAAACAAATATTGATTTTCAATTAGAATAAGTTAAAATAGAACAATACTGTGTAGATTTTTTTTATGTTGCTTAAGTATCAATTTTTCTAATTATATAACAAAACATTTTCTTTATAGCATAAAAAGTAAATGAATACAATAACTTACGCTACAGGATCATAATAAATATACAATAATATTTCAAAAAAATTAGGGCTATCAGTTCATATTGAAATCTCAAAAAATCTGTGAGTGATAGATTTTAGTCAAGTGATAAGTTAAAACAAGTATGCGAACATTCTTGAATGATATCTAAACTGGATTTAGATAGAAATATTTAAAAATTTCATACAACCTCAGATGTATAGTTCGTGTTAACATCTTCGGATGTTTTTAAATGAGATTTCGTTTCTCTACGAGTTAGACTCATATCTGGCGTTGATCTCATTAATAGCTGAAGAGACCATCTTAATGCTGGTGGATCGAAATAAGGAATCGGCTTATGAATTATTTTACCAGCCGGCATCCATTTTGGTAGTGGTTGATTTAGTAGTCGTTGATTTGGTAGTGGTGAACGTGTTTCCGGACTGATTGATGTTGGTCGTATGTGTTTAAATTGTCCAGCTGGCATCCAAGTTTTCACTTCAATTGGTGGTGGTGGTTTCCTTGTTTTAGGTGACATGTATTCGGGATCTTTTGGAGGACGATATTTACCCGAATGTTTCCATTTGTCTTCAACGATATTTAGCAGACCTGTAGAGGTTCTCGCAAAGTGGGTCAGTGATAAAGGAGGTGCACTCTGAAGTCGAAATTTATATCTGACTTCTTCTTTGATTTTTCTTTTATTGCCGTTGAGTGCAATTGTACTTGACGGGATCCCAGTGCCGTTGTTCTGGATTGGGTGTATTGACATATCTCAACTTCTAAGAAATGAAGCCGTCTGTTTGAGTGCATAACATTCATCAAGGCCATTTTTTCAGTACTTCATATTTTTTGTTTATAAAGAAAAGTAATGGGACTTTTGACACTTTTAGCATAGAAACAACTTGCAAATAGATCTCGCCCTGCTCACACACGCTTCCAAATGGCCGGAGTAGTCCTTTGTTCAGTTTCACACATTTTGAAGCTTACCAGAACAAAACATGGAAATACTATTTAATCAATAGATCCATTTTCTGATCGATTACATTGATTATTTTTATCGTAGTTTATTCAATACTTTTTTTTTTTATTTCAGAGAAATATTTTTTGTTTCAAGTTCTTTTTTGCTGCTTGTAAAAATAAGATAAATCCTTTTTAATTCTACACTTAAAAAGCTTTTTCTCTCCTTTCTTCTACAAAAAATGATATTTTGAGATACTCCTACTACCTGTATGTCTCGCCTCGCATTAAAAAAGTTTTTTTTTCTTGTTTTGACGATAAAAAACATATTCTGCTTTATTACATAAGAAAGATGTCGCACCGATTTAAGCACAATTGTCGATATAAATTTTCTTTTTGCAGAATACAAACGGAAAAGTATTTTATTATGGTATTTTATACTAAAACTATCGAAAAACTCAAAATCAATTTTGCACGGATAGAGATTTGAACACGCGAACTTACCTTTGCAGTAAATTACAAAACTAAATCCCCTAGGGAAACTTCTTGTAACCAAGAGCTTGACTTCTTGAATTTTTATCAGTAAGTTCTCGATTCATTGAACATTGTTTGTTTAAGGAAGAGCCTATCTATGATTCTATATGGTTGTATATCCGATGGCTATGACTGTCATAAATGAAAACAAAATGTAAAGAAAAATTTTCACTTAAGACTTGCAACATCCTGAGTGGATTTACTCAAGATCTTCGCATAAGAAGTTCCACTAGGATCATTATTCTGTGACTATATCGATACAACGATCGAACTTGTGCAATCGATTCGATGTTATCATATTGTTACATTTGCTTTTAAATAAAATTTTGAGCACAGTGATTAACATGACGACAAACAGAAGTCTTGTAAAGAAAACACATTACATCTGCGTTTTCATAGTAACCCGCTACTCAAAATTTAACAGTTGTTTGTAGAAGCCTAGTTAATCAATGTTCATTTAGCTGTTATTTGGACGTATTTTTTGACAATTTGTCGATTTGCATTTGAGATACGAGACATGTTCTTGTTTTCGCGAGTCGAACTTTTTGGGACGTGTGAGACATTGGGTAATATTGACGGCGGTTGTAGACGTGAATAAGTAGCATTTGTCAATGCAGGTATGTTTGTTGGTTGTAAAATCGATTGTGCTGTATTGTTTCGCACCGACTGATACCGATCACTTGTATCAGTGCCAGACAAAACTGGATTCGTTAGATTTGCTGAAGATACTCCTTGATTATCACCTGATGTTGAGTAAGAAGGAGGACGTTGAACACCATAAGGACCGTTAAGCCGCAAAAAAGACCTTTCGGCTGATGCTGGATGAGAAGAGAAAAGTGGCACAGACATTGGATTATAGAGATTTACAGGAGGTGTAAATAACGGATTAGAATCAGAAGTGCCAGAAAAAGTTGACGGATGATTTTGCGAAAGGGCAGAATATGGATTCGTATTCGACGGTATTAATGAGAGTTGCTGTACCGATGCTACAGGTCCAAGTCTTTGAAATAACTGACGCGTTTGTTGAAGAAACTGCTGGATTTCTGAACCACTCGCTATTGAATTTTGATTTTCTGGTGCTAGTGTGCCCATATTTCCCGTATTCAAGAACGGTGCAAGGTTGCTTTCCGGAGATAAAGTGACATTCATTTGAGGCATATTTAACATTGAAGTTTGAATTTGCTGCATAGGCGGATGTAATTGTAAAATTGATAATGTACCATCGGGTCCGATATATTCAGCTGGTAACGTAACAATATCTAAATCTGCTTCATTTTGTGATAGTAGACCCTGAGAAGATAAACCGTTTTCACCCAAATGAATTGATGGAAAATGTACAATGCGTTTAGGGAGACTTTCGATCATTGCGGTAGTTAATGTGGGTCGTTGTTGTGGGGGCGACGAAGATGATGGTATAGAAACTGTGATCGGATTCGTGGCTAAGATCTGTGGTTCACTGACATAATGATGACGTCTGCGACATCTAACACGTTCAATTTCAAGAATTCTTCTAGGAGGACGTAAAAACAATGTAGGTCGTGGAGGAAATGGGATGGTAATAATGTTTCGTGTAGAACGATGACGTCTGCGAGGTGGTAGCTCTATCTCAACTGTTGAATTTCTACTTGATGGTGTTCTCCTGATGGAATGAGTTGGACGTCTTAGAGGTGGTGGTGATAAACGTCTCGTTTGTTGAGTATGAGGTGATAGTGTAGACCTTGGTAGACCGGAGAAAGGTTGATATTCGCCTGGCATTGCTGAGTGACCAATAGGCCTCGGTACAAGATTTGACATCATTGTAATTGGTTCTACTATTGAATAATAAAAAGTCGTAAAAAAATTTTAAAAATCTGTTCGATCAGCATTCCAAATTACATGACTGTGACTGATTGCTAAAAACACCTGTCTATCATTGATAACGAGACAGAACGTCATAAAGATGTTATACGCTTCAATAGCTATCAATTTGCTTTACGACTAAAACGTGGCAAGGTAATACTGCACACAGACATCAAAATAATATCTATATTAGACTGTTTGACAAAGATTGATTAAGCCTTCATAATTACGCAAATAAAAACAGTGTTTTATTACTAAGTTTCAAACTGAATCTAAGAATTAATTAGAAGAAGGATATTCCGTCTACTGCTGCGGATGCAGAGTGCTGACAAGCCACACTTATCAATGTCAATAAGCCCAATACCTGCCCTGCAGTGGATACTTCTCAAAGGTCGTCAATCATCCTTTTACTAGTTATCAAAACCGCAGTTATAGAAGACTAACCTGACGCAGACTTTTTTCATACATACATCTGAACTCTTCCATACATACGCACTGGCTTAATGCTAGACGAGATAAATTACATTGAATGGAGCAATATAGCAAGTAAGTTATCAGACGAGTGATCTGAGGTACGTAGACATAAATAATTTCTATAAGTTAGTTCATGACTTGCTCACATCAGCGTTGACACACAATTTTATTAAAGTACATGACAAGCAATGTAATCTTTGAATTATTGATTAAAGAGAGATATGAATATTATAGTTGGAGGACATATTTTAAAATTTTATGCAAAAGCATAGTCGTATAGATTCTTTTTTAACGTTGTTCACACTAGAAGGACATAGTTTGTCTTTTTTCTCTCTGTTTAATATTTGATCACATTAATGGTTTTTTTATTAGTCAAGTAATTTATTATTACTTGACTTTAGAAGAGTACCGCTGTATACATCTGGATTTCGAAAAGAACCACCTATTCGATCCCAGAATGTAAAAAATTGTCCATAATTACAGTTATAAAGTGTATGATGATCGGTATGATGAGCCGAACCGTTGACAATTTTTTGTAATAGTTTTGGTACCGAAAAATTTCCATCATGAATGGAAACTGTCCAAAAGTTGACAAAAACAAAAAATAATAAATATGTTATTTTGTGTAATGGGAAAAGAAATACGTATAAATGATACGGTGAACTTTGTAAAAAACCATCAAGAGGATGAAATGCATGACTGGCAAATGGTGTTGGTACAATCCATCGATGATGAAGTTTATGTACATGTTTGTAAACGTAACGATGATGCAAAAATCGATGAATCCAATAAATTAACATATCAGTAAATAATAGAAAACCGGTAAATTCTTTGAAAAATCGAGCGACGCCTACAACAAAAACGCACAATTTACAAAACTTTATGCAGAAACAAAAAGCATGAGTGTCTAATCACACGTAGTTACATTTATACCAACTCTTCTTTTACAATGCAACGAGATTCATGCAAATAGAATATAGTAAGTGTACTATTACCATATGGACGTTCGGAGCTATCATACAATTTTGAATAACCACGCAGCTCCAACATAAAAACAGCAATTGTCGGCATACTCATCCACGGCAGAGAGGTTAACGTCACTTTAATTTCTTGCCATACTTGATTCTAAAATAAATAGTGTTTTCTTTAAGTTAAACAAAAAGTAGCAACATATGGTTGGAATGCTGTAAAGTAAAACTACTGAGGGTAAACATCTTCTCATTTTAGAAGATATTTTCATTTTTAAGACAAACGTGATGTGACATGTCCTCTACAAAAAAAAGACTACTACTTGCTTTCCACGGCATTTCACTGTACCCACGACTTTTTTTCGGCTTCTCACACAGGTAGTTTTTGCGAAATTTGTTTAAGACCTTTTCTGGTCGAGTTATAAGAAAAATACTAAAAACGTCTCAAAAACCAAGTTTTTCAATTTTGGAAACCCTATAACTCGATACACGTTTCTCCATAGCTTAAACTTTTTTTGAAAATTATTATTCTGTTCAAAGGCTATAGCAAAGATACGGAAAGATCCTTTTAAAACCTTGGCTTGTGATTTTAAGGGCCCTGCAGATCGGCACAGAAGCAGAGCCCGAAACGAATCGATTTATTCGACATTCAGTTTAGTTTGATTCGGCATGCAGCCGAACCGAACTGAATTCGATCTTTGAAACAGGGAGTCGAATAGAACCGAAACGAAGTTGATTTTTGAAACACGAATCAACCGCTCAGTTAAAACGCTTTGGTCAAGCTAAGCTACAATGACATCGTATAAAGCAAAAAAGCACCATCCTAGTGGAACTTCTTGTAACCAAAATCTTGACTTGAATTTTTTCGATAAGTACTTGGTAAGAAAATATAACAATTCAAGAAATTTTCAGAAGTCAAGAACTTGAACATGTAATTTCTTGACTTTTTATACCAAGATCTTGGAAATTTTTAAATCATCCTTTTTTGTTTTACATTCTTGTGTAAATATAAGTGCAAATATTTTTTCACAGTTAGAATAAATTCGAATTTTTTTCCTTCCTGACCATAGTTGTTTAAGCAAGAATCTATCGTCATATATGCGATGGCTATGACTGTCATAAATAAAAACAAAATGTAAAGAAAATATGTCACTTTGGCTCTTGCAACATCTTGAGTGGATTCACTCAAGATCTTGAAATTTCTGTTCCCAAGATCTTGAGTGGAGTAAGCCAAGACGTTTCAAAATCTTGAGTGAAAGATTCAAGAATATAAAGTCCTGACTTCTTGGTGCTTTTTCCAAGATCTTGTGACATCTCTTAACCTAAGATCTTGGGTACAAGAGGTTTCACTAGGACATATAATAAAATTTTGCCCTTTTTCTCTGTTATAACGCTCCGAAACACAAAATCGCGATTGAAAAAGGAACATATAATATCTTTTACCGAGTTATTAGGATATTTAATCACATTCATTTTCACCGATAGAACTTTTGAGAGTACCAACATATTATGTTTACGTTCGATCGAAATAAATGGAAAGACTAATCATACAAACAAGACATTTCTTGTTTATATTCTTCTCCTTGTTTGTATTATTTCATGTTTCAAAGTTCTAGTCACATAAATGATATGTTCTGCTTAAGGCCGCCGCCTCCCCCAAAAAACTCGATTTTTGATCCAATGCATGGAAATGCCACGACACTTTCCACAAACGCTGGGCACATAAAAGTAAACTTGTGGAATTTGTCTTTCGCCGCCATATCTCAGCGTTCCGGAGTTTTCTAGAGACTAAGGCTCAAATGGCCCCTCTGCCCGTGCAAATTCTTTTTCACTATACTTCAAGGTACAGAACTCGGGTGTTTTATTTGAAGCAGAACTGTTTATCCCTTCGGATGACGAGAAGGGCTTTTTTTATTCTTGCTTTCTTTATTTTTGGGGAGCTTCGAAACCTTTAAAACTTTGAAATACCATCAGAAGTGTTCCAGACAGACGCGATTTTCTACAGAACTAGAGGCTAATTAAAAAATTCCTTCTCATCCTGAGGAGTATTGAGTGCACCAATAAATAAAAAAAACGCACCTCGTTATAATGAACTATGTTTTAAAAAAATTTGCTCGACGTTTGGCGACTAGCACAAAATCGATTTTGAGAAAAACGCTAACTCTTTCTATACGAGACACGCTCGCTAATTAGCGCTTTTTGAATAACTCAAAGAGGATAAAAGACAGACATCTGGGGCTTTCAGCAACCGAAAGAAGATACTTTTACCTATGGTTTCGTATGAAAGATATTTTTCGATAAATATACGAAAGATCGGTTTTCTAGGAGGTCTTTAGAAAACCAGTTTGGATCTGCGGATACTGAGA